TCCATCAACAAGTACATAACTTTTGGCGGTCCATCCATGAAATTTCAAATAAAGGGTTTGAACCAACGCGTACACAAACCCTCTCAATGTATCATATAGAAGGGCACTAGTTGAGAACAAACTGTTGGAATGGCATAGCCTAGTTGCAAGAGTTGCACTTGTTGATCTAAATGACGATAGGTACTCTTTTGCTTGGAACTTTAAACAAAAATGGTTTATTCTTGGTTAGATCTATGTATAGACACATAGTCAATAATGGAGTTAATGTCCCACAGGAAATTTGGCATATGACAATTCCCTTAATAATCAAGATTTTTCTATGGTTTTTAAAAAGGGTGTGCTACTTACAAAGGATAAACTCACTAAAATAAATTAGAACGCGAGTAAACCTTTGTTGCTTTTGTAGTAAGTCTGAAATGATCCAACATTTATTCTTTGAATGTCATTATGCTCGTTTTCTATGGCAAGCGGTTTATTTGGTGTTTGGCTTCAAGCCACCAACAAGCAGCTTACATTTGTTTCATAGTTGGTCTAAGTTGGGAGACAACAAACAGAATTACTTATTATTGACTAGGGCTGCTTCTCTTTGCTGCGCAATTTGGCTCACAAGAAATGATTTCGTTTTAACAATGGTCACCCAAGAACACTTTTCAAGGTTCTGTTCGGGGGGGCGTGCTGGCTTCGGTTCTATGTTCAACAGCACTCGGATGATTACAAAGATCAAATTCGCAAAAAATTACTTGGAAGTGTCATGTAGTTTTTTTGCGTGGATGGTCTTTTGTGTACCGTCTCAGAACCTTGTAATAAGTTTTAATGTTGAGTGTCTTTTAATTTTTGCGTTTTGATGTTGACTGATGTCTTTTCTTGTATTTTCCATTATCTAAAAAATGTGAAGATCTATATGCTGACTGATGCTGCTTTTATGTACCTCTCCGTCTCAATACATTTCTAGGTTTGTCTAAAATGCCATTAAATATGTTGTTTTTTTTTTAAAGTGACTGATGCTGTTTTTCTTGTTTTTGTGTACCGTCTAATGGTTGTCTCAAACCCATGGCGTGAGAGAACTCACGTGCTCTGTTACTGGTTAATCAAAATATTGTCTCAAACCCATGGCGTGAGAGATCCGGCGACTGGAATCAAAAATACGAAAATTATTAATATTTATATCTCTAAACGCATAAGCAGGTCCTCGAAATAGAATCACACCTGGACCTGCTTCGCGTGCGGAGACACAGATGGGGACACCAAATGGAGACACACAAGCAGGTCCTCGAAGCCTTTGTTGACGTGCATGGTGGGATGCTGGGAGCCACCGAGGTGGTCCGAAGCGTGCTGTTGCCTATGACTGCAGCGATGCGCGTGGACCCGTCGCAGGAGCACGCCTCCACCACGTCAGCGCGCGAGAAAAGGAGGAACGGACCCGCCATGGCCAGGTAGTAGCATCGTCGGAGCCAGTGGCCGGACCGGCAGCCAAGATCCGCTCCGTCCTCGTGCATCTCCGTCGGACCTGCCGCGAACCAGTAGCCGGATGGGCATCCCAGTAAGCTTCTCTGTTCTCTGACGCCATAGACGCTGGGCGAGCAGCGAAGAAGATGGGGTGACGGAGTCAACTAACGGGATGACGGAGAGTTCGGACGGCTTCGTGTGCGAGTAGACGGAGTAATCCGTGTGGGCCTAGCTTCTGAAGGGAAGGCGTGAATGGCCTCCACGTGTAAAGGACAGGCAAGTTGCAGCCCAGCCGAGAGTGACGGGGAGAAGTCACGGGCAGGCCCCACCTGGCCTGATCTGATCAGTCGGAGGAGCGTGTCAGCCTCGTCATAGTGAGGTGGCAATCCCGTCCGAAATTCCAATCCCATCTACCCAGGTCAAACCTTCGACAGGCTGGTCGAAGCAGCCACCACCTGACCATCTGAAAATTAGCAAGAGAGACGGGAAAACGAGCACTACCTCTATCTCTCAATAAATACTCTAGATGTAAATCATAGGAGCTTGAATGTTTCACTAGTTCATTCATTTTTTATTTTTTTATCTACATTTAATACTCCAAAGTCTCCTCACATTTATTGCAAAACTTTCTCAAGGCCTAGATGTATTTTGTTTCACAATTCATTTTCAAAAAGTCTCCTCACATTTATTGCACTTTCTCTCATTTCCCAATTCAGTGCGCAGTTCCTACAGTTGGATGTGCATAGTAAATGCTATAATTAATGTGTTATTGGAACAATCACCGAGCAGTACGCAACTTCTCTAATTAATAAAGGGTGATATGACATTTTCTCTGTCATACTAATATGTCCTAAACATTTTAAGAATCTATTATTCAGGGACAGATGGAGTATACTAGTATGTACAAGAATCTTACTAAAATATACTAGTTTGCAAGGGAACTACGACAAGATTTTTACATCCAAAACCCACCTCTCTTTTTTGACTTTAACTAAGTTCATAGAAATATCCACTAATATCTACAACATCAAATTAGTTTTACTATTTTTTATGAAATACTATATTTTTATAATGCATTTATTTAAAACTAAAGGTGTTACTATACTTTTTTTAAAAAAAACATAGTCAAATAAGTGAGGTTTCAGTTAGAATTAAGCCCAAATGAACAATAATTTGAAACGGTTCTTTCGATCAAGGACTATTGTTTACCCTGAGCTTATGTTGTCTAACTTATAATGTGAAAGAAGGAAGTTGTTGGATTGTATTGGCTTATATGTTGTTTTTTTTGTGGGGTTTTTTAGGAGTCAAGAGGGGCTCCAGCACCTACTGAAATGAATTAAATAACAAAACTAGTAGCAAGGTTTTATAGAAGTTTCAGGAGACCAAAAAAAAAAGAAAGGAAAAAAAAAAAACCTAGGATGAAAGTTATGGCAGACTTTGGATCCATGTGCCAAGACTGTTTGCTAAGGTATCTTTGATCCTATGTAAAAGCAAGGAGATTTCTCTTTTGAAGATTTCCTTTGAGGTTTGAATATTCGCTTGAATTCTTTTGAAGATCAAATCATTTCTAGCTGACCAAATTGTCCTACACATTAAGCTTGCATTCATAAAGAAAGGGGAGTTGAGTATGTCTTTGATGATCTGTAGCCTCCACTGCACATCAGTATTTGATGGGAGGTTTATGTCAAGCAGATTCCAGCAAGCTCTTGCAAAAGTGCATTCCAAGAAAAGGTGTTCCAAAGTTTCTTCTATGTTGCTAGAATAAAGGACATAAGTATAACTGTCTAGGTGCATATTTCTTCTTCTCAAAATGTTTCTTGTGCTCATCCCGACTTCCATGAACATGAACTGTGTGTGTTTGGCTGGTAAGAAGATTTCCAAAGCCAATTGTATCCTTCGTGCACTTGTGCATTTCCCATAATTAGGCGTAGACTCTTGAAGAAGAAGAATTAGTTGCCCAAGTGTAGCTCCAAATATCAGTACTGGGTTTTTGTTAACTCTATTTAAGCTTATATAAACTGAATTGTAAAGCTAAAATAAGCTGGGAATATATAAGTTTAATTCTCCAGGGGATTTAGTTTTGATTTGAAAGACAACAAGAATTTTTACTCCTAACAGTTTGTCTTGCTTATATATTGCCAAAACACAACTATTGTCTCACAACTCATGATCTAGCTCCCCAATTGGATTAATGTCGATTTAAAATCCTTGTTAGCTTTGACCATCGGAATCTAAAAGAATCATATGCACATGAAACATTATGTCCATGCTAGTAGCAGATTCATCAAAAACACTTTCATGATAATGACTATTTCAATTTGGAAAATTGGCTCCATCCTAAAATAACTGCATATCTCGTTTTTTGAAAAGTCAAAATTTTAAGTTTAAGTACATTTATAAAAAAAATATTATCAATATTTGTGCCTTCTAATATGTTTATTATGAAAATATCTATTAATTTAAGGATAGTTTTTACACATTATGATATCAGTATGTTTTTGTTATATTTAATCAAACTGAAAATTTTGATTCTTCATAAAATAAGATGTGCAATTATTTTGAGACAGAGGAAATTATAATTTTTTTTACCAAAGTTTCATCCGGTGAATTCCATCTGGTAAACCGTGCTGTATACGAGAGAAAGCAATGAATCCAAAGAAATGTGACGTTCCGATGAACCGAGGCTTGAGTGATCTAGACTCCGATTGTAAACCGTCTGAGGCTCTCCTGATCACCGGTGAGAAGTGACTCGTGGAACACGAGCGGCTCTCCTGATCGTGGCTGAGATTGTACTTCAGGTCTACAGCAGCGCCCCACGGGACCACGGCCCCACTGAGCAAAGCACACTGGCATGACATGAACATGACACCGATGTCGGCGCCTCGGCGGCAATTTATTGTACCAAAAAAAAAAAAAAAGAAAAAAAATGCGCCAGCGGCAGCCCCTGGTCAAGTGGTCATTGGTCAAAGCCAAGCAACTGTTCTGTTCATGCGCTTCCCGTGGGCTATGGCGGAGGAGGACAATTCAAAGCAGCGCTCTTGGCAAGGCCATGCGCCGCCGCCCGTCTTTATCCAGCAAGGGTTAATTAATAATTAGATATATCCAAATCCAATAAGAAAAAAAATCTATTTCAGGTACGAGTCCGAGTCAGCAGCTTCTAGGCCCCGGTGGCGATGGGAACCCGTTGTCGTCTCGTACAGTGTTATCCTCGTCCCGGACCCCGGAGGGGACGGAGGCTATAAATAAAGCTCCCGGCCCGAGCCTCGAATCCTCCCAACCCAACCCAAGGTCGTGCTCCACCGATTTTCCTTTTTCCACTAGTGGATAGCGCGTACAGTACAGATCTTTTCGTCTTCGTCGGTGTGGCCTGTGAGAACCCAAAAGCTCAGCTTCTCTGGCTGATTCCGGGGGCGGGATCTGGCATTCTCTTCTCGCGCCCACCCAAAAGGTCGCGGCTTTCGTGTTGTTGCCAGCCGGTGCGCGGTCGCTGAGCGCGGAGGTTGGTGCCCGGTAGCTGTTCGACGACGGTGACGAGGCCGGGGTCGACGTCCATCATGGTGGCGGAGGCTGCGGCGGCGGAGCTCCGCGAGGCGTGCGCGGCGCCGGCGGCGGAGCGGGTGGTGGCGGAGCTCCGCGAGGCGTGCGTGGCGCCGGCGGCGCGGCTCAACGAGGTGGCGGCGGCGATGGAGGCGGAGATGCGCGCCGGCCTGCGCGAGGAGGGCGGCAGCAACGTCAAGATGATCATCTCCTACGTCGACAACCTCCCCACCGGGTAATTCCTTTTGTTACCATTGCCGCCACCACCACCACCATCGCCGAATTCCCCAAACATTAGTAGTAGCACGAGTACTTCTAGCTTGTTCTTTAACTAGATTCTAGTGCTACACGTACGATTGCTTTCATCATCGTCGTCGTCGTCGTCGTATTCATATCGATGATATGATATGTTTCGAACTACGAACTGGCTTTCGTTTGCTAGCACGAGCTGGAGCTGCCTTGTCTCTGTTTGTTTGTTCGTCCCTTCCGTATATAGAACGCGTGTCCTCCCGCTCGAATCGACCCGTGCTGGCGTGTCCGTCCGCGTGTTGGCGTCAACCCTTACCCTTGTGCGGCGGCACGTGCCAGCTCGCGAGCCTGCCAGCCTGCCCTCCAAGGCTCCAATGCGCTGCAGCAAGCTGGCACGTCCTGGGAGCAGACTAGCAGAGCAACTGCGAGGAAGTTGGACTTGGAGTGCCAGCGCACAATGCCCCATTTTCTTTTGCTACGATTGTTCTCTCTCTCTCTCTCTCTCTCTGATAATGGAGGTAATGTCCGACCTGACTAGTTTAGCCCAAAACAGAAAATTTGTCAAATAAGCAGGCGCAATTCATGATGCTGTCCCTGCCTTGCTGTGTTCCTTCCTGTCTAAGTACGTAGCAATCTGTATCCTGCTCAACGATTGAACAGTCAGTTGCGTGGTGCCAGCTGCTACTGAATAGTCATCATGAGTGATCTGTTGCACCGGCTGTCCAGCCTACGAAAACAAGTCTAGCTTTTGGTGGAAGTCAATCAAGGCCACGTTTAGTTGGTCCGAAGTGGCGCCGTCAAACGCACTGTAGATACACTGTAGCTATAGTGTCGTTTTGTTTTTATTGGGTAATAATTGTCCAATAGTTGACTAATTAAGCTTAAAATGTTCGTCTCGCAAAGTACAACCAAACTGTGCAATTAGTTTTTGATTTCGTCAACATCTAGTACTCCATGCATGTACCGTAAGTTTGATATGATAGGGAATCTTCTTTTTGCATAGTGTAAAAGTTGGGAATTTGATAGAACTAAACAGGGCCCAAACCAGATAAAAAGTCATCCTATACAAAACAAAAAACATACAAAGGTCGCTGGCCTGATGGTCACTTTTATAATCTTTCCAGCTGCCCGTGTCTGCTGTATTCACCTGTTGTCAGTCTTTGCTTACATGTTATGCTTGTGAACTCAGGAACGAAGAGGGTGTCTTCTACGCCTTGGATCTCGGCGGAACAAACTTCCGCGTCCTGCGCGTGCACCTCGCGGGGAAAGACAAGCGTGTCGCCAAACGAGAGTCCAAGGAGGTATCCATCCCTCCTCACCTCATGTCGGGCAACGCTTCGGTGAGTGAGTACACACATTTTCACGGTTTATTAATTGTATACTGTCCATTTGCGCCCCGGCCCTAGCTCATCCATGGTGTCGTTGGGTGCTGAATTCTTCAGGAGCTGTTTGGTTTTATCGCTTCAGCTTTAGCCAAGTACATCGCGAGTGAAGGGCACAGCAATGTGTTTGATGATAAGCAGAGAGAACTCGGGTTCACATTCTCTTTCCCTGTGCGACAAACGTCGATTGCATCAGGCACGCTCATCAAGTGGACCAAGGCATTTTCGATCGACGACGCTGTAAGTATTCATTCGTTATTTCATTTTGTGGCTGTGAATTCTAGATAGTTATTGTTACCTACTAGAGTTACCACAACATATTGCTTTATGCAACTTATACCATAGCATTTCTGAAACTATTCAGGTAGGTGAGGATGTTGTTGCTGAGCTGCAGACGGCCATGGAGAAGCAAGGCGTCGACATGCATGTGGCTGCACTGGTTAGCCCTTAGCTTCTGACCCCATCTATTTCAGCTCCTTTCGTACGATCACAGGCTGACAATGCATTTTCATGCCTCAGATCAACGATACCGTCGGGACACTGGCTGCGGGTCGGTACAATGATGAGGATGTCGTCATTGGTGTGATATTAGGTACTGGCTCAAATGCCGCGTACGTTGAAGAAGCGAGCGCCATACCGAAGTTGGAGGGAGAATTACCCAAATCAGGAAACATGGTAATGTTGGATGTCCTGATAATATTTTTCATTTCATTCATGTAACTTGTGTAGAGCAGCACAGGATTACCTGCCTGTTTTTTGCAGTGTTCTCACCATGCTTTCTGCATTTCAGGTGATAAACACAGAATGGGGTAACTTCGACTCGTCCTGCCTCCCAATCACAGAATATGATCAAGCCTTGGATGAGGAAAGCTTAAACCCAGGGGAACAGGTAGGTTTGACAGGAAGCATGGACAATGGTTCTCTTATTCGTGTTAGTAAAGAAAAAACCTTTGCTTACAAAGTTTAACTGTTACTTGTTTTCAGATCTTCGAGAAGTTGATTTCAGGGATGTATCTTGGCGAAATTGTAAGGAGGGTACTGCATAAAATCGCGTCACAATCTTCAATCTTTGGCAATGTCAGCCACACTAAGCTCAAAACTCGCTTCATTCTGAGGTATATATCTTTTCTCTGAACAGCTGCCTGTTATATCAAACACCAGAGTTAAGCACAGTAGGGTGAACCACCAATTAGAACACCACCTGCGTTTTTCAATTTCTCAACAGACATAAAAAGTTAAAACTAAATGCTGATCAAACGTTGCTGTGTAATGTTTGACATTTCAGGACTCCTGATATCTCAGCGATGCACCATGACGATACGCCTGACCTGAGAATCGTGGCTGAGAAACTGGCCGACAACCTCAAGATCATGGACACTTCCTTGGATACAAGGAAGATGGTCGTCGAGATCTGCGACATCGTCACCAGCAGGTCTGCCCGGCTGGCCGCGGCAGGGATCGTTGGGATCCTCAGGAAGATAGGGAGAGCAGTGCCCGGTGACGGGCGCCGGTCCGTCGTCGCCATCGACGGTGGCCTGTTTGAGCACTACGCCGAGTTCAGGAAGTGCCTGGAGAGCACTCTGGTGGAGTTGCTCGGGGAGGAGGCGTCGAGGTCGCTGGTGGTGAAGCTCACCAAGGACGGGTCCGGCCTCGGAGCCGCCCTGATCGCAGCTGCTCACTCGCAGCCCCAGCACTGAATGGCTGTGTGTGTCGTTGTGCAGGTTCCGGACCCCTTTTCTGGCGCTCGTGATGTACTTGTAGTGAATTCCTGTATGTTTTCAAAAACAAATTTGCTTGGAATCTGCCAAGCCTGTTCTAATGGAAAGTTGCTATATATGCACAGTCCTACTCTTTTTGGTGAGTTCAGCTTTCTAGTCAATTCTCAGTTGAGATGGAGCAGCTGTACCTCTAACTTGTTCATCTCCTGAAAGCATAGTCTTAACTCGAGGAGACAGACCAGCGGTCCAAAACAAAATGATATACTCCGTTCGTTCTAAATTACAATAAATTACAAGACGTTTTATCTTTTTAATATATAACTTTCAAGATTAATAACCCAGTGGGTAAACCCCTCCTGTTTTTCTTAAAAATTAACTTCTGCTGTGCATTTAAAATACACACAATGTCCAGATGCGTAGTAAAAAGAAACATATCTAGAAAAGCCAAAACTTCTTATCAGCCTGTTTGGCTGGGGCCGAAACGATTGTATACGATCGTGGATTATTACTGCTGACTGATTTGATGTGAGAGAAAAATATTGTTCTGACTGAAAATTTACGATCGTTTACGACCAAACAAACAGGCCGTATAATTTTGAATGAAGTGACGAGTACCACTTAATTTTAATTTAATTAGCTTGAGGAGATTCTCTGGCTAACAATTGACACTTGACATGGGCACCAACAATTAGGACTCAATGAAGTCTCCATATTAACTTTCACTAAAGATTCTCCCTATTCGTTTCCATAAAATTTGGTTTATGTTACTGCTTATGCTGAAATGTTGTGAAAGGAAAACACTATTTGTTCGCTGAAAAGTACTGCTGAAGTAGTGTCGTAGAACAGGACCAGAAAAAAAACATAAATCATAGGATTTTTCAAAACAATAAGAAAACACTGCTTTTCAATTGGGTAGTTTCTAATTACTAGCAAACATGCCCGTGTGTTGCAACAGGAGAAAAAAAACTATCATACATTTGATTTGTTCGCTTCAGCTTGCTGTATAGCTTCAACGGTCGTGATAGCTTAATTTGTATAGGTGCTACTTTTGATACTTATGAGTGATTGTTGTGGCAATCACAGATGAACCGGCTCATTAATGGAAACGGGCTCACAAATGAACGGGCTCCATCTATTTATTTTTTTTGCTAGAGTTAGATATCAAGTTGTGTGGCTTGTTTCGAGGATCCATAAAAATATGTAATTTTAATATCTTAAAGTCGGCAAGGATTATTCATGTCTCGATTTCCACATGTCAGCCTTATCGAGAGTTGCACTATTATATGCGGACAACTTAGATATTTGCACTGGCATGTGCGGATAGCTTAAAGAAATATTTATTTTTATTAGATTGGATGACAAAGTATTTAAAATTTAAGTTTACAGTTTGATTAGTTAGGTCATCAACCGATTCATATAATAATAATAATAATAATAATATTCCTAATTAAAACCAACAACTTAGTAATAAAACATTTGTTTATTATAAATAAGAGTCAATGTTTAAAAGACTTGTAATATTGTATTTATTGTTTACTTTCTTTTAATAAAAGCATACTCGTGCATTGCAACGGAACATGTTGTGCGATGATCTGGACGCTTTTGTGTTGCAACGGAACATGTTGTGCTGTTAGGTGGACGATTTATGGACTTCATCTTGAAATTGAACTTCCTACCGTCATTTGATGCATCTTGGAATCAGAGTCTATAATATCACTGCAAAGAAAAATAAAAATAGAAAACATGAAAATCCAATAGGAAAATGAAACTTGCCATTGTAAAAAGAAATTTAAAAACAAAAAACTAAATCCAAATTAGAATTGGAAACCAGAAAAGAAAACTTTAAACTTGTACGTGAAAAAAACAACTCGAAAGTCCAGAAAATAAGGAAACCACGGTGGATCGAAAAACAGACAAGGAATCGAAAAATGCTCCAAAACCGACTGTACCTCCTACGGAGACAAGCAAAATAAAATGGGAAACGTTCGAACACAGAAAAAACAGAAAATGCTCAAAAAAAAAAGGAAACACTCGATGCTAAATAAAAGGAAAACACAAAACAATCAGGAAACGTAGCACTGCTAAAAATAAAAGTCTCAACTTTGAGAGGATCAAGATGCCCAAGAGAAAGGTGAATTGGGCTAATTCTAAATTTCTTCGCAATAAATAAGTCCTATGGTTAGCCCAATTAACCCTTGTGCCTAGAGAAATGTTTCTATTGATCTAACGCATAAAAGTTTAGCAACCTAGTTCCAATCCTATTCTAGCATGACAATTCTAAGAATGTAAATGACAAGAATTGAAATTGCTCAAAGTAAAGAGAGGAGAGTAAACGTGGCGATGTTTTGCCAAGATATCGGAGAGTCGCCACTCCCCACTGGTCCTCGTTGGAGCACCCGGGCAAGGGTGTAGCTTCTCCTTGATCCGCGCAAGGATCAAGTGCTCTCTACGGGTTGATTCTTCGACACTCCGTCGCGGTAAATCATCCACAACCGCTCACAACTTGAGTTGGGTCATCCACAAGCTTTCCGGATGATCACCAAGCTCTCCAATCACCACCAAGCCATCTAGGTGATGACGATCACCAAGAGTAACAAGCACGAACTCTCACTTGACCATGATAAACCTAGGGAGAAGGGTGGATGCACACTTTGCTACTCTTGATCTCACTAATAAGGGCTCTCTTTGGGATTCTCAAATCTCAATCACCTCACTAGGACCTTGTTCTTCTTGCCACTCTCTAAGATGTGTTTCAGCTGTTGAAATAAGCAAAAGTCACTCCACACACGAGTGGAGCTTCTATTTATAAGACAGCCTGAAAAACGAACCGTTATGTGTCTCTCCGGGCTGACCGGACGCTCCGGTCAGTTCAACCCGCACACCAGTGTTTAAGTGTTGATCGGACGCTGGCAGGGTCCGGTCACCACTAACCGGACGCATCCGGTCCCATTTTTCCCTCACTGGATGCTTACTGTACTCGACCGGACGCTGGATCCTCAGGGTCCGGTCAGAATTGACCGGACGCGTCCGGTCGCAAATTCACTCTTCTGGAACCTTACTGGAGTCGACCGAACGCTGGTCCTCAGCGTCCGGTCACTCGACCACTTAGCGTCCGGTCGCACCAGACACAATCTACTTGGTCAAATGAACTGACTGGACCCTACGGCCAGCGTCCGGTCGCACCGGACCCAGCGTTCGGTCTGTATTTGACCCTCCATTCACTTCCAACTTTCGATCATACGTGAATGAAGTTTGCTCCAAAGGATCTAAGGGCTTTGTTGGAGCTACCTAGTGCTAGACTTAGCAAGTGTGCACCACACCTAACTCACTAGACTCACCTAGGTCAAGCTACCCGTCCATACCTCCCTTAATAGTACGGTCAAAGGAAAAACAAAGTCCTAAACTACTCTAAGCGTCTCTCCAACTCCAATCGACACTTAGAACTAGTCATCCTTAATCTTGTCGTCCATCCTTTGAAAACCGAAACGATTTCCATCGTAGGGGCATGACATCCATGATTGCCCAATCGATCTCTATTACCATGACCTAACTTAATTGCATCTGTAAAACACACGTTAGTCATAGTAATCTTGTATTGTCATTAATCACCGAAACCCAACAAGGGGCCTAGATGCTTTCAATCTCCCCCTTTTTGGTGATTGATGACAATACCACCTCGAGTATGAGAAAGAGTTGAGGTTTTCATCATGCTTGGATCATATAAGATTTTGTCAATAAAAACAAAAGAGTTAGGCAAGCTTGTATGACCCAAGCCAACATAATGTACTCAAAAGATATTAAATAAGCATGAGTATAAGTAATAAAGCTCATTTGCATCGGAGTATAAACGTGGTAGCAAGGCAAATGAGCATAACACAAGTGATATGACATATAAATAGTTATGAAGTAGAGAGCACACATGTCATATATCACAATCACATAGATATCACTATCACATAGATATAGTTTAATGCATGAAGGTAAACACACGAATGCATAATAGTAATAGTGTATCACACAAATAGAAACTTCAAATGTAATAGATAAAAAGCTAATAGATAACTAAGCTCCCCCTAAATAAGTCGCTCCCCCTGAGTCTATATACTCGAACCCTCTCCCCCTTTGGCGTCAAACGCCAAAACCTAAGGGCTGGTCGGCGGGGCTGCAGCGGACGAGTCGGGCGCTGAAGTACGAGGAGCAAGTTGGAACTGGGCAGCATCATCATCTGACCCTGAGCTCTGTGCTGATTGACCCTCTATGGCTGGGAGCATCGCTGAAGCGGTCTGGGTCTGAGCTGGGGCAGGTGCTGCCTGTGATGCTGCTGGTATGTCTATCATAGGATCTGAAGATGCGACAGAAGAAGGAAGCCTCTGAGTAGTCACGGCGATGGGAGCTGCTGTAGAAGGACCTGGGGCATGCATATGTGGCGGTGTAGGCATCCCTGTCAACTCGCTAAAAGATGCTCCAAGACTCCTGGAGACTAACGTGTCAGGCACAAATAGCGAGGATGACTGATCCAGTGTGAAGCCCATCTGAAATGGTGTGAACTACGGGGCTACCACTGGCGATGATAACCACTGGGACACATGTACTGGGGGAGAAGCAAACTGAGCTGGAGGCTGTCCCTGACTCTGAAGCCCACTGGGCTGTACTGCTGGAGTCGTCGTAGTGGTGGCAGGCTGAGCAAGCTAGGGTAAAGGCTGTGACTGTGAAGCCCCAAGTGTTGTTACTACATGCTGCATAAATCCCATAAGCTGCTGTTGCATGAGTAACTGCTGCTGATGCATTTGCTGCTGCTGCTGCTAGAGGACCTGCTGTTGTCGCTGGAACTCGTCCTGATGAGCCTGAAACTGTGCAAAGTTGGCAGCGGTCTCCTGAGCCTGTCTAGCCTGATCCTGCTGCATCCGCTCAAGGATAGCAATCAAAGCGGGGTCCGTCTACGGTGCAGGTGGAGCGAAGCTGGAAATGCCGGCCTCTGC